ACGACATTCCACCCCTTGTATGCTGCAATCGTCAAATCAGGTATCTGTGGAAGCACAACATCAGCCCAAGCCGGCGAGACTAGCACATCCAGATTGAAGGTGGGTTTGAGCATCTGCAAATGGGGAATGAGTTGCAAGAATCCTTCATTGAGGCAATAGACCATGCTGCCATGTGACTTATCCAACCATGTAGCCCAGAGAGACCCCTCATGACAGAACAGGTACACTGCCTGATACCAGCAACTGTGTTCATCCGTCCAGAAAGGGTATTTCCATGAGGGCCAAATTGTGCTGTTGAAGTACGGAAGTTTAAGTGTGAACTGCCTGGCAATGGCATCCTGGCTCGCTGTCCACTTCAGTCTATCAGTAGCACACTCTCTGAGTGTCTGAATGGAAGGTCTAAGATCAGCATCCTGTATCCAATCAAGCTGCTTCAGTGATGAGACCATGAAAGTGTACAGAGAGTTCCACGGTGCGGGCCTTGCTTGACGGATGGCATGGGGTTGCTGAGAGCAGACCAAAGTCGTTTCAAGGGCTGCCTCCGATCGGCGCAAACAGTGTCCTGAGTACCCCCATTTTCTTTTGAAGGTCATAAAAGACCACTGGGCCGAGGCATGCAACGCCATGAACACCCTTACCGACCTACGCCTCTGTCTATGAATGAGCATGGCATGTTCAGTGCTGACATTTTGGGAGATGTAGAGCCTGAGGATCAAAACCAGCATGGAAGCCTGCATGCTATCCAGAGAATCCCGGACATGCTGAAGCGGCTCCAGCATCGGCGCACACCAAGCCCACTTACTGTAAACATACTTGTTGAGCAAGTGTAATGCTGTGCTTGCCGCAGTCCACGTGCAGGCTTTCAGCACAGGCGCCATGCATTCCCAAGCCACAAAATTCAATGACCTCGCTGAAGCTAGGACCCACTGTGAAACCGAGTAGCCATGACCGAAGTGCGAGAAGGGCCTACCCAAATAGGTGGCATGCTGGCGCCATTGACAGCTAAATTTGGGTGATTGGGATAGCGGGAAAAGTAGCGTAGTCCACCCTCAAGGAGGTCTTCATGCACCACCAGAACGCTCTTGGAGAGGTTGATCTCCAATCCAAGTTCCCGGAATGCATGTATCAGCTGTTCAAACCCAACCCTAAAATCGCTCCAGGAAGAAAACGTGAGGATGACGTCATCTGCAAAGGCCCATCCATGTAGTGGATCACCCTTGGAATCAGTGTGGTCCGTCTTAGCAGAGGAGGTCTCATCCCAAGCATGAAAAAGAGCGTCCAAAGTCTCCCCCAAAATAAGCCCGAACAACCCTGCTGATGGAGGCGCCCCTTGCTGAATACCAGTATTGGAGATCATGGTCCAGTCCTCATTTCCCCATCTAAAGGCAAGCCGTGCCCTAATCAACTGGTAGAGTGTACTCGCCTCCTTCGAGAGTTCTGGTGGTCCGGTTAAGAGGTACTCCAACAACTTAGACCGCTTGAGGCTGTCGAAGGCTTGCTGCACGTCCAGAAGGAGCCACAAAGAGGGCTTTGCTAGCCGATACTCCTTATAGAATAGGGACTGCGCCAAATAGAGCGAAGTGACTGTCTGATAGCCAGGCAAACAGCCCTGCTGTGCTCTTGGAATGCTGCAGGCCCTGAGCCACCGTCTGAAAAGCAACCCTCCGCAAAGTTTGCTGGTCGCTTCAAGTAGGGAGATTGGCCTATAGTCTTTGGGGAATTTGATTTTGGTCTGTTTGGGAACCAAACAAATGAAAGCATTGAGAGACTCAAGAGGAATGTCATCATTCGAAACAACCATCATGGTCAGGTGCTGACACAAGAAATCCACTCCCTCATCATCGGAAGCCAGGGCTGAGATGATCTCGTTCGGAATACCGCTCGGTCCAGAGGTCTTGTTGCGATGGGTGTACTTGGCAACATGGGAACGGACTTCTTCGGGTGTAAAGGGCTGAAGTTCAGTCATCTCAGCTTTGGCTCGGAGATCTGCATGGAGTTCAGCGCACTTCTGAAGCTCTTCAGGCGACGCCACTGCCATAACCCTAGCAAAGTGTCCCTTGACGGCCGAAACTGCACCACTCCTACCCCCACAAGCAGAAACGAGTGGTGAAGCATCAGCTTTATGCACTTGTCTTCTACGAAGGTAAAGAATTGCTTGAGCGTCCCCTGCTCCCGCACGCTCCTCAAGAGCCTGCCACCACTCCCTCTTTTCAGCAGCTCGCCTGGCCAATATCAGCCGGAAGATGTCGTTGCGCTCTTGCAGTGTGGGCGCTAGCTGTCTTTCCCTGCACAACTCCTTGAGACCCTGGCTGTCTTGGAACTTGATACGGGGTCTGGGGTAGCAACACCTTGAGGACACTTTCTTGAGAGCTTCCCACTGTGCATGCGGATGCGGCTCAGCGCTGCTGAGGATGGGGAGGTGTAGCCGCAGCTGGGCGTCATCGACCATAGCACGCCGGCATCCAGAGAACCGCGGCCTACGCGGCTTCTCTCCGATAGTTTGCTTTCTCCCTATTAAGCAGTTGATTCCTACCAGCGCATGGTCAGATCCTAATTGTTTGGCAGCATCCTTGTTGACGGAAACCCTGATCCCTTGTGCCAGGTTGAAGTATCTTGACAAAGAAGTAGTCGTAGCGCCTAGATGAGAGTGGCCCAAACCAGGTATCATCTTCAGGATATACGACTTGAAAGGAATACATAGCCATCATAGTGGTGAGTTGAAGGAATCTTTCGTCACCCTCTTGGCAGTTCCAATCCCCTGCAAAGACCGCAGCAGAATATCGGCCTGCCTCCTTGCAGGCTTTGGCAATCTCTTCAAGAGATTCAGCAAAAATGTCGTCACTGTCATTCTTGTGTGGAAGGTGACAACCGAGTACGAAACAGCCGGCATGAAGAAGACTATGCTGAAAAGTCACTTAAATACTTCTCTTCCCTGCACTCCCAGAAATGATGAAATCAACCACCTGTTCGTCCAGAAGAATCACTTGTCCCAAATGACTGTCCAACTTATGGGTTCCCAAAATAATGTACTCATTGAGCTCTGAATCCTCACTGGCCTGAACCCTCATTAGAGGCAGAAGTGATGAATCTGCCTCCAGTTCCAGAAGCCTAAGGTCTGCTGCCTCTGGGCCTCGTTGAATTCCTTGCAACCCCGCGACCTCTTGCAAAACTAGGATATCAAGCGCCTCCTCCCTAGGTCCTTCCAGCCAAAGTCCAAGTCTATCCAAGCTGCGTCCCTGTACATTCCAAGAGTGAAATTGACAGCTGGGAGAAAGTTCAGAAGGAGGTACTCTGGCCCCGGTAGCAAAAGGTCACTCAGAGCGCATCTCTGCTTCAAGCTCCTGCGGGTTCCTGTTTCCAATCCTAGAAAGGGCCTCCAGGTTGTAGAAACAAGACCCTGGTGCACTCAGTCCGTGGGAAAATCTAATGCTGATAGTCTTCTGGTCTTGGGCAAGCAAAGCGCTGTCCCACAAGGCCATCACACGCACATCTCTCAGCCATAGCAGTCCCTTGCTCCAGTCAAGCTCTACTGCGGGATCGGCATGATCCAGCTTCATGACCCGCAAAATTCGATCGAGGCCTTGTCGCAGAAGCTTGTTGCGCTCTCTGACCGCAAGGGGCTTTGAAGGAGAGATCCATATTGGATCGCCGCCTGTGGCTTGCATCCTCTTGTTGGCACGTGGGAGCAGTTCATAGAAGCGGCTACGTGCCTGCTGGTCAGGTAGAGGCTGCAGCCAAACATGGCCAATTCGATCACGCTTGCCGTAAACTGCTGTCTTGGTAACGCCGTCCGGTTGGAAGGTTTGGATAAACCTCCGGATGTCGCCTTCAATGATCTGCCGCTTTGTGTCGAGCTTCCAACCTCCCAAAATGAGGTGCGAGAAATCAGTCTCATCCCGCAGGGATGCGGGTGGTGGAATCATGACCGGAGGTCGAGGCCAAGTTGGTGGCGACACAGGCTCAGATGGTGGTGCCGAGGTAGCCCTGCTGCCAGTCTCTCTGGCCTGCTTGAGTGCACTAAGTTCCCCTTCAAGCTTTGAGAGTCTCACCCTGTCATCATCGGATTTTGCCTCGAGATGCCTGACACGGTCGGTCATCTTTTCATTCTGCACCAACACCCTATCCAGCTTCTGGGACAGGTTTTGATTCAGTACGCTGAAGTTACTCTGCAAGGCCAGTGCCCATTGAGGTGCTTCTTGGCTTGCTCCCCCAGGTACAAGTTGCAGGTCAGAAGGCACAACCTGATCTACCTCCTCCGCTTTTCTCTTACCAGGGCTAGGCGACCTGGAAATCAGAAGAGTTTCTGGTTCTGCCTCTGCCTCCATGGCGCAAGACGTGACCCTCCTCACCCTGAAGTCTTGAAGCCGAGATCTTAAACCCTAAACCCTACACCCTAAACCCTGAACCCTAAACCCTAAACATAGAACCGGGTTTTGCTTACAGCTTGTGGTTGCTCTGCGGGCTCCTTTTTGCAAGCCATTTGGGTGGTTGAAAAATTATGGTCCCTTTTTGGGTAGCCTAAATATTAGGTGCCGTATTATAATAGGGATCCAAAAAAGGACCATAATTTTGCAAGTCATTTTCTAGGTTGGCCGTTTGCCGGGGTGCGAGGGTGGTCGTCTGCCCATTGTTGTTGGCTAGCTCGGTGCGTTTTGGTTTTGGCTCGTTTTCCTGATCGATGAGATAGAATGAGAATGTTGGATGCTCGAATTTTGTGCTTTTTCATGGATTTCCCCCAAAGTTTTGGAACGGGCAAATCCCTGACAATCAAATCAGCTTCCTCGACCTCCACCAGACAAACGCATGCAAAGTAGACGGGTGTGCTTGGAAAAAACTTCAATCGCCACCCATTTCGTCCCAGGACCTCTGACCGTGCAGTGGCCCAGCTTCGTGCCACTAGGCGCCAAACATGTGTCAGTTACAAATCAAGCACGATCCATCAGCATGCCCTGTCTTTCCATCACTTGCACTGCTGACTTAAGCTGAGCGTCCCCTGAATGTTACCTTCTTTTTGGCAGCTTCGCACCGTCCAGCATAAAGTAAGCCTGACAAATGCTCAGCGCAAACGGCTTGAGGAGCAGGGGGCCGTCGGTATGCTGCGGACGAAAGACATGTTTCAGAGCTGCTTCCGCTGATGGCCGGTCCATAGGCTCGAAGGCCAACATGCGCGAACAAAGATCCGCCTTGCATGGCCAGCGCAAGCTGTCTTTCAGATGCAACACTAAGCTTGGGCTCATCATTCCAATGTGCTTGTCCCAGTCGCAGCTTCTGGACACCGATCAAAAGGCGGACGTGAATAATCTATCCTGAGCGAGGATTGTTTCGCGCGAGGCTGAACAGGAAGTCCTTTGCTGCAGAATGCCAGATCTGCGGTCAAGATGCTTTGCCTTCTTCAAACGTTCGTGGATCCTGAAGCCAGACGATCGCTAACCACCCGTCTGCAACGCACAAGGCCAGAACAACTCCGCCTCTTCATAGCTGGACTTCCAACCCAGTTTTCACCCGGCTGGTCGTCGAACATGTCTTCCTGGCTGCAAGCTTTCCTCAAAAATGCTTGCAAAGGCCGCCTCAAAAGCATGCAAGCGCGGCCCGGCTCGGGAATCTGCCAGTGACCAGCTTGTACATCACCTAGCCACATGCTGCCAACATCACGCAAGTGTATGCAAGTGCTGCCTCCCCTGAGCTCGCGGCCACTCCAAGTGAATAAATGTCAGAAGCTGGAGAGTACGAGCCTGGCATTCAGAAAGTGACATACCGTCACCACACCCTCCGCAAAGGGGGGCACCCAAGTATGCTTCTGGTGCGATGTAGCCGTCTGTGCCAAGAACGTCCTTGGCTTTGGGGCTGTGCGGCTCCCAGTTTTCGACCTCAGGACTCAGAAGTGCTGATGCTTTCTGGATACCGGACACTCTGGCAATCCAAAACTCCATGCTCCGCAAGTGCTCCGCAGCTCTGACAAGGCACAGTATCGAAATCGATGAGCTTGACACTCGCTGGACTCTGAGCATCACCACCATCCTTTAAGCGATTCATTTGGTTGGCCTTTGCCTTCCTTAGTATGCTGGTTGAGGATCAAGTACACATGATAAATGAAACCTCCACACTTGAAAACCTCATTCTCCATAGCTACATGATACCTCACACACCGCAGAAGGCAGACTGAAACTTGCAAGCGGACGCGCAGGCTGTGTGGATGTCAAAGCAAAGGAGGTCACAGGCATGTACAAACTAAACTGTTCTGCA